GAAAACTAAAAAATAAATATTAAAATTCTTAAAATAAATAAATAAATAAAAAATGTGAGCTGAAATTAATGTTAGCTGCAGCAAAGTGAAGACAGCATCTGTTTAGTGCCACTGCTATATCCCTAGCATTTAGAAAAATGTTTGGTTTTGAAGTAAGCACTCAATATTTGGTGAATAAATGAAAGACAGCAACATCAAAAAGTAAGAAAGCAACTTACACCACTCTGTAGGTCTCTTCCAATTCTGCTGTTTTTGCAATTTTATATATTAAATTTCACCATGATCATTTTCTCTAACAGTATTGTTCTTGTATCAGAATCTTATTTATCAAGGCCCCCCTCTTCTAAAATAAAAAAGATTTATCAATTTTATGAAATGTTCCTTTTCTAACAATAGTTTTATGAAAAAAAATAGTTTTGTTCTGTTCTCCTTCCTTAGTCATTTTTCACCCGCACTACGGGGGATTGAACAAGGGCACTCTACCACTGAGCTACATTTCGAGTCTTTTTTATTTTGAGATGGATTCTCACTAGAGTTTGGCCTTAAACTTACTTCCTCAGTCTCCAGAACAGCTGGGATTATAGGTGGGTGTTACCACACCTGCTCTTTGAACATTTACTGAACAACTATTATCTGCTTTTTGGTCTAGTTTTCAATTTCATACTCCTTATTAAAGTTACACTGGCTCTGATATGTGACTTCTAACAAACAATAAGGCAGGGAGAGAAGAGAAGTTCATTAGATTACACAAAAGAGAATGAAAAGAAAGAAGGAGGGATGAGAATAGGAAAGACAGTAGAATGAATTGGACATAACTTTCCTACATTCATATATGAATACATGACCAGTGTAACTCCACATCATGTACAACCATAAGAATGGGAAGTTACACTCTATGTATGTATAACATGACAGAAACAAACTGTCATGTATATCTAAAGAGAACAAGTTTAAACACACACACACACACACACACACACACACACATATACACAAAACAAAATTTAAAAAAAAATAAATAAAGCTACACCAGGCTGGGATTACAGCTCAGTGTTAGAGCACTTGCTTAGTATGTGCAAGGACCTGGGTTCCATTGCTGGCAACACAATAAATAAATACACTCCTCCTTAATCCATCATTAATCTTTTTTTTTTTTTTCCAGGGCTGAGGACCAGATTCAGGGCCTTGAGTGTGCTAGACAAGCGCTCTGCCACTGAGCTAAATCCCCCAACCCCACATCATTAATCTTATATTATCTTTCTTTAAACATTGTACCTACCTGATTTATAATCTTTCACTAGCAAAAGTAAGGTCACAGGTATGTATAAATTCATTTTAGGCTGGGCATGGTGGCATATACCTATAATCTCAGTGGCTCAAGAGGCTAAGGCAGGAGGATCACAAGTTCAAAACTAGCCTCCGCAACTTAGCAAGGCCCTAAGCAATCCAGAAAGACCCTGTCTCCACATAAAAAAGGACTGAGGATGTGGGTCAATGGTTAAATGTCCCTGGGTTCAATCCTGAGTATCCCTCTACCCCAAATCATTTTAACATTAACTTTACTTTCTAAAACATACTCATTATATAAACTTATATCAGGATGGTATACATTAAGTAATTTACAGGATGATTACTAATGTCTTTCTAAAAGAAAATAGGAAAGTACTTTAAAAATTGCTTTACAATTTTCTTTTTTTAAAAAAAAATATTTTTAGTTGTAGATGGACATAATAACTTTATTATTTATTTTTATGTGGTGGTGAGGATTGAACTCAGTGCCTCATACATGCTAGGCAAGTGCTCTACCACCAAGCACAACCCCAGCCCCTGTTTTACAATTTTCTACATCAGTACATGCCCTGTTTTTTGGCATAATTCTATAGTGTTTATTTTTAAAATATTTATTTATATCGTGGCACCAGGGATTAAACTAGGGGCATGGTGCATGCCTGCCATTTGCTGTACTTCTGAGCTACATCCTTAGCCTCCATCAGCCTCACATCCTTTAGCATGGGTTTATATTAGATATTGTTGACATTTTCAGGAATAAAAAAATAACTGAGCAACAAGTTGAGCGTTACTAGCAATGTATAAAACCATAAACTATCTACTGAGCAAGTGATTAAAATAGTTTGGTTTTAAAATACATAAGAAATTCAGGCTATATAAACAAGATAATCACGACTATATACTGATCATGTCATAATCTCTGAGAATTTTTTTAAGTTTTTTAGCTAGAAAAGGAAGTAGTAATAGATAAAATAGTATGAGTATTATTTGAAGACCTAAATATATTCCTTGGAAGCTAGGTAATTTATTATTTATTATACTATTTTAGGAACAGTTCACACAAACTGATCATAATATATCCATCAAAAACAAACAAAACAAATCCCTTTTGGTTAGTGCATATGACTCAGCATCACTTTAATCAAGCATTGTGTCAGATGGGGGAATATACTTACTGGGATGTAATGTTGGGACATGTTGTCCAAGTCTGTCATCTTTTAGCATGTGTAGCAATGTTGTTTTTCCCGCATTATCCAGTCCAAGAAATACCAATTTACCGGTTTTCTTATATAATCCTGTAGATTAAAAGCTCTGATTAGTCAAAGTGATATTGACATAGATTATCCAAATGACTTTAAATTTTGCCTGAATAAGCATGAATTTCTAAATTTATTTTCAGTCTTAACAGAACTATTTTACATCTATTCATGATTTGGGACTTCAAATAATTAAAAAACTAAACTTGACAACAGTTGGTGAAATATTTGTATTTCCTAAACATATCTGCAATAGTAAAAAGCTGATACATTCACAATTTAGAGGTAAAATCTGTGTTCTCTATTAGAAAAACACTGAAAAAATACTTGATATCATGTATTTATAAAGCTAGACTGAGGAAAAAAATGTTTGTTTGTTTTTGTTATTGGGGATTAAACTCAAAAGAACCCTAATACTGAGCTATTATCCCTAGCCCTTTTATTTATTTATCTATCTATCTATCTATCTATCTATTTATTTATTTATTAAGTTGTAGATGGATACGATCTTTATTTATTTATTTTTATGTGGTGCTGAGGATCAAACCCAGTGCCTCATGTGTGTGAAGCAGGTACT